ATCGTTGTAGAAATAGAAACATAATTACTAATATAAATTAAAATAACTTTTCAAAAGACAGATTTAACAATTAAAACATGCCATTCAATACCCCAACAGGATCTGCTGTCATCGATATGAAAGGATTTTAATCAATTATATAAAGATTTGGTCTAATAAATCCAACCACGAAATATTGCTTCTATATTATAATAGTCTCAAAACTAATATCAAATACTATCATAAAAAGTCACAAAGTCGCAGAAACTCAAATTCTTTCAAAGTCTTTCAATCTCGAGTAAATCAGATAAAGCAAAATTCAAATCAATTACAAGTTCATGTAAAAATTCAAAAGCCTTAATGGATGTGCTTTTCAGCTCTTATAGACGCTAGTGCACTGTTATCATGTATGAAAAAAACATTGGCAAAAAAAAGATTAAACTTAGATCCAACAAAATACTAAACACTAATGAAGATATTCAATCTTATCAACCATTTATATGAATCTCAATACATTTGCCTTGGACCAAGCAACAGTGATAGAACACAAATAGTATAGATAAGGAAAAGGGTAAACTTCAGCTTTAGTAAATATTGTTCTAATTGTGAAACAGTCCAATAGTTTTAGCTTATCAACTTTATAAATGCAAACTTATAATCAGACTTACCAGGTATTAGAAGTGTTCAAGTATTGTAGAAATGAAAATTAAAATCTATGCAGATTGCAACTTTCTCTCATATATTTAATTAAATCAAAATTAATAAATCAAACTAACGACCACAATTTAATAATGGATATTAAGACACCAAAAAAAAATATTAGAATATGGCCTACTGGAAAGACTCTTCAGATTCATTAGAGGACTCTTCAAGAAGTTCATCAGATAGAAATCATCATCAGCTAGTGGTTCATCAAATAGAGGTTCATCAGATAGTAGTTCATCATCAGCTAGCAGTTCAACCATTAAAAATAAGCTACTTTCAGAGACAAATTAGAAAACAACAAAAAAAAAAGTAAATATTTTTTTTTTTCTAAAAACCTTCTTTCCTTAAACTTTCTTTTAATTGATGAAAGATTAAAGACATAAATATGTAATAAATAATCATCTATATTTATAAATTAATTATCTATTAACAATATATTTAAATAAAGATTATACATTAAAAAGATATTTAAATTTTAAAATATAAAAAAAACTTTTAAGTTTATAATATTTTTATTATCTTATTTTTTTATTATTTCTATAACATTGTTTTTGTTTGGGGTTAAATTTAATTTGTTCATAGTACTGTAGTGGTTTAAATGATTAATTGCTAATTTTTATTGCCTCTCTTGATTAGTTGCTATATTATTTATTTATTTAAAATTGATATATATTGTTGTCATTTCGTCAAATTTTGTTTGAATTAAATTGTTTCTTGATCATTCCACCCTAGTTTATTGGCACGCTTCAAACAGTCATTACGATCTTGATATTGGTCTTAAACAAATTCTAAATCAATAACCTATTTTTGAGATTTCTTAAGAGTGATTCTTTGAGGTACTAAATTTTAAAGGTAGAAGATTTGTTTTTTCTCTTAAAAGAAACAACTTTTCTTCCATTCTTTGTCTTATCTCCTCTTCAATATATTCAATTTTCAGTTTTAATTGATTATTTTCATTTCTAACTGTTTCTAAATGAACCTTTTGTGTTGAGAGATTTCTGACTCTAACTTTGATCACCTACTTTGTATTTCTTGGTATGTTCATTTTGTTTTCTAATTTGTCTCTGAAAGCAGCTTATATCGTTTAATCAATTCTTTAATGATTTGTTCTAACTGGTATTGTTTCTGGTTGTTGTTGATGTTGTGGTATTATTTGATCACCTACTTTGTATTTCTTGGTATGCTCATAAGACAGAGACATTAATATTATTTTTATAGTTTGAAGAAGATTAGGAATTTGAAGTTTGGGAGATGGTGAAAATATTTTTTAATGGTTATGAACTGTTAGCTGATGATGAACTGCTATTTGATGAACCACTAGCTGATGATGATCTGCTATCTGATGAACTCTGAAAAGTCCTCTAATGCATCTGAAGAGTCTTTCCAGTCTGAAGAGTTACCTGCTATTATACCTGTTGATATGCTGGTTGATCCACTTGTTCATGTCTCACCTGTACTACTTGTGCCACCTTCACCTCTGCAGTAGCACCACCTGCAAATGGTCCTGAAAAATGTGAGGCGTTTTATTAATTATATGATAATAAGGCGAATTTGGTGATGTTTGGGTGTGACTGTTATTTCTTAATGAGGACTGCCTTTGGTTTGGCACTATATTGATTTTTTATTATTATAAAATGTTTTAATATTAGCCTTCTTAAAAGCTTCTAATAACTGAGGCTGATTATTGATTTACTGAATAAATACTATTATTTTTTTTATATAGATGACTAAAATTGGAGTATTTAAATATTGTTCTCTATTATTAAATTTATTTAATTCGATATTTAAATATATATTTGATTGTTTTTTTGAATTATTTGATTGATTGCTAAAATGTTGTTTTGATAATGGAACCTAATACTGAAAAGATTTCGGGTAGGTCATATTCTAATATTCACTTTTAGCTATTAAGACACCATCTAAACACAATCTAATGGTGTCTTTTGAATATTAATAAAAATTAATTTAATTTATGTTAGTAATTCTGTTTCTATTTTCTATTTTTCTTTAAAGGATGCCACTTCCTATATGTATATTGGTTTGTTGTTGCTGTTGCTGTTGTTTTAAAATAATGTATTAATTTACTTACTTGTTATCGAAAGTTTTTTAAACATATTTCAGTAATGTTAAAATTATTATTATTATTGATTGGATATGCCATAGTTTGCATTAATAAAACTATTTGTGTTTGTTTGTTTGTTGTGTATTGAAAAAAATAAAAATAAAAAAATTAAAAAAAATTAAAAAAAATTAAAAAAAAAAAAAAAATTTTATAAAAATATTTATTTAGATTTTTTAAAAAAATATTATATTATTTTAAAAATGGCCGTAACGTGTTGGTTTTGACTAAAATTGGGAATACTGTTTAAATCTATAGTTGAAACCTTTATATTTTATAATTATTTTTTTTAAGAAAAAAGTTACTAATTTTAGGAAAAAGTAAATTGTAAATAAAAAAAAATATTTTTTTGATCAAAAAAACTATGTGAATATATTACTCTGCTCCCTTATGGGCCATTAATAAAGTATACTATGACATAATAAATAATTTTGTTTACTATTTACTATTTCATATTAAATGGCCACATTTATATTTAAAATTAAATTTTTTTTTATTTTTATTTTTATTTTTATTTTTATTTTTAATTTTATTTTTTTCAACACACATAAATAATTTTAATAATGTTAAATATAGCACATCAAAACCAAAAATAATAGTTTTAGCATTTTAAACCTTTATAGAACAAGAAAGTGAATACATTATTTTACAACAATAACAATAAAAAAAATTAAAAGAAAAAAATAAAAAAAAAATCATATTAATAACAAAATATATAAACAATAGATTCTTGTTTATATAGTTTATATAATAATTATATTATAATCAAATAAATAAAATATAAAAAGATTATAGTTTGTTTTATTTTTTTTGAATTATTTTTTGAATTTTTATTTTTTAAAAAAAAATTTTATTTATTTTATTTTATTTATAAACTCTTTCAAATTAATACATCGCATCAATTTTCACATTAAAATTATCATATATCACTTGATCACACTTTGTTCAAATCAAGGATGTCTTTACTCAGTAAAGTTTGAATTAGTAACTCAAAATTAAGAATTTTTTAACTGTTTTTTTAGATAGGTTTAAAATGTTGTTCCATAATGTCTTTATTAGAACTAATAACTCATAATTAAAGACTTGAACACAGCTGTGTTTTTATGCTACTAATCAATAAAATAAATAAATATAAATAAATAAGTAAAAATTAAATATGTTTGAAAAAAAAAATTTATCTTTTTAAATAAATATTGTATTAACTTTTATAAAATTTTTATTAATTATTTGAATTAACCTAATTAAACTATATTTTTAATTGAGTTTAAAACCAATCTAATACTTTTCTATTTTTATTCTAATAAGCTGATTGTTCTACTTGATATACAAATCTTACTTGTTTTGCTACATCTCTTGGTGTTCTACACCTATATATTGGAGAACATTCAATAAATGATAATAATATGCTAATTTTAACTGGCCAACATTAAAAATAGCTATACATGTTTTCTGGTGATTGAAACAATTATGAATTGATTCTTTCTAAAGCTAATGTACCAACGAGATCGGCAAGACTTAAAGATGTTTCTTTTTTTCGGATGAAAAAACTATTGCTATCTTTATTACAGGTTTCATTTCTATGGACTTCTTCCTTGACTTTTCTTTTTGGTTTACTCTTCGTTAACTCTGAAAATTATTTGTAACTCTTATAAGTTCTTATTAAATTTTAAAATATTGTTTATGATACTATAGGATACACCATGAACTCTTTTCATTAACTTGGATTACTACTTTTTATAACGATACATACACATTTCACAACTACTTTGGTACAACTAATATTTTATTTTCATTCTGTATCTACAATAATATTTTTTCTAATATAAAGGAATCTACAAAAGACAACAACTAGCAATGAATCTAGGGACATTTGATGAGTACTATTTAAAAATGGCTGTATATAATGTTAAGAAATATCAATTAATATATATTTTAAAAAAATAGTGAAAAAATAAAATTATTTACCTATGAACGGGAGTTTACATTTGGGATAATGAGCCATAATGAAACTCGGAAAAATGGGATAATATAATATTACGGTCGCTTTTGATTCTTGGTTTAATTTCAATGAAGAAACTATTTTGTGATGCAACTGATGAAATAATTGTAATATTTGTTTTATATAATTCAGCTGCGGCGACTAGTGTTAAATGGTCACCCCATGTACCATTTTTTGACATATTGCTACAATAATCTTCCCAACTTGCTTCAGAGACAAAGTTAGAAAGGCTGGCTCCGTTTGGAAGTTTGAAATCTTTATTATTTCTGAGCCATTGTGCAATATTGCTTCTAATTAATCTACTATGGCACAAGTCACCATAGATTTGATCAGAAAGAGAATGTATCTGGCAATTTCCATCGCCTGGGATTTCCCTTCTGACCATCAATGAATATAATTGTATACGTTCCTTTAAACGTATCTCTGCCATTTGAGTTTCATTTAATTTAAGAGGTTGAGTACTTGACAACCCTCTTGTATTGACCAATGGTTGAAATTTTTGATATTGTTGTTGTTGTTGTTGATATTGTTCATTGATTAGTTTTCTATGTTGTTGATATTGTAGTTGTTGTTGAAGTTGTTGTATGTGTTGTAATTGTTGTTGTTGTTGTTGTTGTTGTTTTTGTTGTTGTAGTAGCTGATTTAGTTGTTGTAATTGTTCTTGTTGTTGTTGTTGACGTTCTTCTTTTTTTCTTGCACAGTTTTGGTCATTAATGGTACAGGAACGGCAGAATTCACCATTAATGGAAGAGCATTGGCAACCGTCGTAATTGTGGGTGTTTTTGTTGAAATTTAATTTACCAAAATAATAAATAATAATGGTACCAACAATAAATAAAAGAACACAAATGATAAAATAATAATTCATTTTTTTTAAATAAATAATTATTAAAAATAAAATAAAAAAATTAAATAATTATAAAAATAAATAATGTGAATATATACAAAAAAATATATATATATATAAGTTATTATTATTAAAACTGCAATGTGAATATAAGTAAAAAATAAATAAAAAAAAAATATGATTTAATGTATGAATGAAGGTTTTAATTTTAATAAATGAAAAAAAAATTTTTTTAAATTAAAAAATTTTAATAAATTTAAAAAAAAAAAAAAAAAAATATAAAATTGTTTATTTTAATATATATTTTATTTAATTTGATATTTTAGAATAGACTTAATTTTTTTATAATTTTAAATTGAGATTTTTAATTTAATCTATATTTTGATTTGAAAATTTCATTAAATTCTCTCTTAAATGATATCCTGAATACCAAGTTAATTAAAAAAAAGATTTAAATTTTTTTTATTTAAACTTTAATACTTTATAAGTTTAATTCTATACTAGAATAACTATCTATTTATAAAAATATTAATTAATTTATTTACTTTTTTTTTACTTTTGTTTTAATTTTATTTATTTTTTTTTTATTTATTTTTGAACTTTCATCCCCTATTATTATATTATTTTTTTTGTAATTATGAATAGTTTTATTTTTTAATAATAATCATTTATCTTTAGTTTATACAATTAGTTATCTTTAATATATTTATAAACAAAATTATTAATTA